TTTAAGTTTATACCCAAAGGGACCCAACTACCTATAAATTTCCCAAGCAACTTCAGAATTAGCTCGCTGGGAGCACAGATCCCTGCTAAGCAGGTAAGTCAGTCTGATGTAGAGTCATTTGCCAACTCTATCCAAGATTCATTTTCCTGTTTAAAAGCCTCACTATTTCATGAGCTGTGATATTCAATGGGACAGTAACATTAAGAAAAAGTCTTTGAATTCCTTAAGTGCATTCCTTACTGCTTTGGCTTTTCAGAATTTTCTATTTCACTTTTTTAGGATAACTTAAATTTGCAATTAAAATTCCACTTCATCACAAACCACACACACACACACACACACACACACACACACACATTAAAGAATTACTTTGAAGCTCTAGATACCCACCTAGACCTTGCACTCTCTTTTGCAATGGTACTCACAAAAATCTGTTAAGGCTGCAAAGCTCATGGAGGGCAGAATCAGAGGCAGGTAAGATTTTCTGTCTAAATTTCTCATATGAGGGCAATTCATACAAATAGCTCCTCATCCAAGTGCTGTTAAAAAATAGATCCTTGTCCTTGTAGAAGCATTAAATGTAAAAGAAAATTTCTCCAAGCCAAACAATGGATGCTTTCTGTAATTTTTGAATCCTGAAATAAATTAGCAACACCTTTGTGTTTTGTTCTTTTTTAGTGCAGCTCAGAGAAGATGCATGACCTCCAACTGGGCTCCAAGGAAGATCTCATTCCATGCCCTTAACTCAATTTCATAGTGTGTGTGTGCATGTGTGCATGTGTGCATGTGTGCGTGTGTGTGTGCGCGTGTGCATGCACACGCATATTGGAGTCTGCGTCTGTGTAAGTAATTTATTATCTTTGACCTCCTAGACGATACCGGTGGGGACCATTTTATCTGCCCTTCATCAGTCTTTGCAACCTAACAGGTAAGAGCTGACAGAGTAACCAAGCCGAAGCCCTAAACTGGAAGACTTGCTTCGGCTTGGAAAAGCCCTGCGCATCCTTATAGTACCAAGGACAGGGCCTGGATAATAATAGGCAGGAGGGAAAACTGTCCTTTTTCCTACAAGCTTAGTCAAGCACCTAAAAGTATTTTTAAGTAGTTTAAATAGGTGTAAATGATGTGATTTTTATATTTACAAATATTGACCTTTTAAAGTAAACTATCTATGGAAAATATATAAAAAAGAATGCAAATATTATAATTGCTGCTGTTATTATCTATTTAAAAATACATCCAATTCTATTTTTTTAAATTTGCATTAGTTGCCTTCAAGTCCATTCTGCCTCCCAAAGACTCCATGCGTGTAGAGTCCACCTGTTTCTCAAGGGTTCTCATTCTGCCTCCCAAAGACTCCAT